TTCAGTGTTTTATACTGGTATTACCTGTGTACAGATATAATCTAGTGTCCTGCTGTGGCTTTATGCGTGTTGAAGTATAATCTAGTGTTTTGTAGTGCTACTACTTGTGTACAAGTATAATCCAGTGTTTTATACTGGTAGTACCTGTGTACAGGTATAATCTAATGTTTTATATTGGTATAACCTGTGTAGAGGTATAATCCAGTATCTTATACTGGTATTACCTGTATACAGGTATAATCCAGTGTTTTGTACTGGTATTACCTGTGTGTAGGTATAATCTAGTGTATTGTACTGTTATTACCTGTGTGTAGGTATAATCCAGTGTCCTACTGTGGCCTTACGGTGTACAGTTGTAACCTAGAGTCTTACACCAACGTTGTCTAACACTGGTATTGTTGGTACACACTGACTCTATACATCATTACAATGGACACAGTACACTGCCATCCTATTCTTCTCTACAGTAATGAAACTTTTACTGTGGTGCATGACTCCTCTCGTATATAGTTACCGCACAGCGTTAGCGATATTGTGAGAAGACGGCTCTCTACTGCCATTGCTGATCTCTTAATTGCTCCAGATGTGATGCATTTTTAACGAGCCTGAATTATTCACGACGCTGAGGATGTCATTAAAGAACGAGGCTTGCAAATGGTAGGAGGGCTTTGGGCCCTTCACTCTGCTCACTGAATTGCTAGCAGCACCTGGATCCTAACTGCACAGCTGGTGTTCCAGACACCCACAACTCTCTGTGTAAAGAGGTCCCCAGGAGCTCTTCTGCGTTGATGACTGAAAGACTGTGTTTCCTCTTTGGGTGGCGTCCAGCCAGCTGTCATCACAGCAGCGGGAGTGGTTTGTCAGATTCTCCCTCTGAACGTAAAGTTAAGTGTTGTCACCTTCACGTTTCAAATGCTGCGTGTCTTGGGGCTGCGTGCCAGTAGGCTTCTTCAGACTAAACAGTAAAACATGACTCACACTACAGGTGTACAAACTAGACAGATATGCTTTTAAAACTTAAAGGTCCTGCTCTCAGCTGTACGTGCAATTTTCAGTAGTTTCCAGCCACCCCTGAATAGCAATACTGAGGCGATGGGTTTGCAGTAGATTATACTTCAAAAGTGTGTTTAGAAAAGATACAGCTGTGACGCAGGCGGGTCTCCAGGGTCTTTGGAGATTCCTAGGGTTGTATCTGCCTCTGCTGACCATTTTGGGGAACAGTAAAAATGACCACCAGCAGCGAAGTCGGAGAGCTTTACAGACAGCAGAGAACTGTCTCCCTCTACTGGCCATAAACGTTCACTTCATCCAGTGTGCAGCAGGAGAGAAACGTCCAAGAGAGAAACTCGGCTGGTTTCCAATTCAGAAGAGGCCAAAGGAAGAGGGCAGGAGACTCATTAGGTTTCCGATGGATGAATTTGGAAACATCAAAGATATGCATAAAACAAGAGAGTCCAGTGAAGAAATGTAATTAAACATCAGAAAGGCACATGCAGAAAACTTACTTCTGAAAAAATATTAAAACACTAATAAAACACTTAAATAAAACACTTAATGCATTTCACGGCAATGCAGAGGTGACAATACTGTGCAATGATAACCAACAGCGTACTGAGAGAAGAAAAATTAATACAGTCCAGACACACTGACTGGACACTACAGGACATTAACACTGCACTGAGAGAGAGGGATTAATGCAGTCCAGACACACTGACTGGACACTACAGGACATTAACACTGCACTGAGAGAGAGGGGTTAATACAGCCCAGACACACTGACTGGACACTACAG